AATCAGAGAAGAGACATGGAGACAGCCAATCAGAGAAGAGACATGGAGACAGCCAATCAGAGAAGAGACATGGAGACAGCCAATCAGGGAACAGACTTGAAGACAGCCAATCAGAGAACAGACATGGAGACAGCCAATCAGAGAAGAGACAAAAAGACAGCCAATTAGAGAAGAGAAGAGACATGGAGACAGCCAATCAGAGAAGAGACAAAAAGACAGCCAATCAGAGAAGAGACATGGAGACAGCCAATCAGAGAAGAGACAAAAAGACAGCCAATTAGAGAAGAGAAGAGACATGAAGACAGCCAATCAGAGAAGAGAAGAGACAAGAAGACAGCCAATCAGAGAAGAGAAGAGACATGAAGACAGCCAATCAGAGAAGAGAAAAGAAGACAGCCAATCAGAGAAGAGAAGAGACATGGAGACAGCCAATCAGAGAAGAGACAAAAAGACAGCCAATCAGAGAAGAGACATGGAGACAGCCAATCAGAGAAGAGACATGAAGGTGGGTTGTTGGTGTCCACCTCGTGCATGGGGTGGCGGTCTGGCAGTTGTCTCAGCGTGGCCACGCAGCCCAGCTCGGCCATCATGTGGGCCCTCAGGAAGTGAGAGACCAGCTGGTGATGCTGGAAGTCTGCACAGCGAACCCAGATCTTTGCCAGCAGCCAATCAGTGCCGGAGTCAGAGGGCAAGAAGACGGGATTCTGAGGGCCGGGGGTCTGCAGGAGCTGAAAGAACCCAGCYTCACAGAATGATGCTGAGATAAGAGACAGCAGCACACCTGTCCACCTGCGGCAGAGCTCACCTGGATGGCAATAGGGACCAGCTGTTTCTCCTGGTTCAGGTGCAGAAGGCACAGGGGGGCCGGCAGGTACGTCTGCTTCCCGTTGATCAGGTTAGCTGGAAGTCCATCCAGCAGCTCATAATCCAGCAGGTAAATGCTTCCTTTCTGTCACATCATGAAACAAGATAACCCAGATTAAAGCACCTGGCAGGTACAGTAAACCTGCACCTGCGGCTCCAAGAACTGTCCGTCTACCTTCAACTCATCTTTGAGGGAGGAGCCTTTGGGCAGGAAGGGGCGGAGCATGTCAGAGTTCACAGCCAGGTTTGGAGGAAGCTGCTGGATCTGACGGATCAGCAGAGGGTTGGAGCCGTTCAGACACTGATAGCCAAAGTACCAGTCCTCCTTCCAGTGGGTCTTTATGAACCCTGAGAGGAGAGGCAACTTCAAACTGAGGACCAAAAGCAGGAAACACAAACACACACCAGGCTGAGCTCCTCATCTCTTACTGCCAACATTGTTTTGGGCTCCAGTGAACGCAAAGAGRGTCTCCACCTCTGAGAACCCGCTCCAGGACCTGAGCTTGTCAGTGAAGCCTTTCAGGTAGTACAAGTTGGGGGGTGGACTGAGGAGAGGAATACAAAGCACGTCAGACTCAAACCTGCAACCTGTTTCAAACGTCCAGACAAATCTCACTTCTTGGTGGTGAATCTGAGGTTCGGCCCGAGCTCAGCCACGCTCTTCAGGTCCACACCCTGAGGAACGCCGTCCACAGTGTGACGCCACCTGAAACAGAAACCTGCCTCAGAGTTCTGATGACGGCAGAGGTTTGATGTTTAACCGGAACCTGTGTGGAGGCCTGAGGTGCGGAGTGACCCCCTCAGGTGAGCTCAGGTGAGACAGTTACCTGAAGAACTGCTGCTGCTGCTGCAGCTGTTTGAGCCGATGCTGCTTCAGCTTCTCTTCACGTTCATCGGCCGTCAGCCACACTGAAGAACAGGAATCACACCTGGTTTTAGTTGAGGTTCTCACAGTGAAGCTTTGATGGTTTTTATTCTAATTTTATGAACAATCCTGTTTATTTACTCTGTGAACGCTGAGTCAGCAGTTATCTACTGTAGAAGCTTCTTTGATTTACAGGTGAAACAAAATACCTCTCCCTGGGCTGCCACCTTATCGTGGTGGAAAGGTTTGAGTGTTCCAATGATCCTAGGAGCTATGTTGTCGGGGGCTTCATGCCCCCAGTAGGGTCACCCAAGGCKAACAGGTCCTAGGTGAGGGATCAGACAACGTGCAGCCCAAAGACCCCTATGATGAGTACGATAAATGGATTCAGTGTTCCCTCGCCCGGACGCGGGTCACCAGGACCCCACTCTGGAGCCAGGCCTGGAGGTGGGGCACGTTGGTGAGCGCCTGGTGGCCAGGCTTTCACCCATGGAGCCCGGTCGGGCACAGCCCGAAGAGGAGACGTGGGTCCCCCTTCCCATGGGCTCACCACCTGTGGGAGGGGTCGTAGGGGTCAGGTGCAATGTGTGTTGGGTAGTGGTCGAAGGCGAGGACCTTGGCGGTCTGATCCTCGGCTACAGAAGCTGGCTCTAGGGACGTGGAATGTCACCTCTCTGGTGGGGGAGGAGCCTGAGCTGGTGTGTGAGGTTGAGAGGTTCAGACTAGATATAGTTGAACTCACCTCGATGCACCACTCTGGTTCTGGAACCAGTCTCCTCCAGAGGGGTTGGACACTCTTCCACTCTGGAGTTGCCCATGCTGAGAGGCACCGAGCAGGAGTGGGCATACTTATTACCCCCCATCTCGGTGCCTGTACGTTGGGGTTCACCCTGGTGAACAAGAGGGTAGCCTCCCTCCATCTATGGGTMGGGGGACGGGTCCTGACTGTTGTATGAGCCTAACAGCAGTTCAGACTACCACCCATTCTGGAGTCCTTGGAGGGGGTGCTGGAGAGCGCTCCTAACGGGGACTCTCTTGTTCTGCTGGGGGACTTCAACACTCATGTAGGTAATGACAGTGAGACCTGGAGGGGCGTGGTTGGGAGGAACGGCCGTCACTGATCTGAACCTGAGTAGTGTGTTGTTATTGGACTTCTGTGCTCATCATGGATTGTCCATAATGAACACCATGTTCAAACATAAGGGTGTCCATATGTGCTCTTGGTACCAGGATACCCTAGGCTGCAGTTCGATGATCGACTTTGTTGTCATTTCATCTGATCTGAGGCTGCATGTTTTGGACACTCGGGTGAAGAGAGGGGACGGAGCTGTCAACTGACCACGACCTGGTGGTGAGTTGGCTCCGTTGGTGGGGGAGGATGCCTCCTGGACTCCTCCCTGGTCAGGTGTTCTGGACACGTCCCACTGGGAGGAGACCCAGAGGAGGACCCAGGACATGCTGGAGGGACTATGTTTCTCAGCTGGGAACACCTTGGGATTCCCCCAGAGGAGCTGGTCCAAGTGTCTGGAGAGAGGGAGGTCTGGGTCTCTGCTGAGGCTGCTGCCCCCGAGACCTGACCCTGGATAAGAGGAAGAAAACGGACGGACGGACAAAATAAAATAATTTCTCACACTTGGCACTGCTCAGCTCCACGTCACCATCAGCTGTTTGCAGCCACCTGTCGCCCAGGAACATCTGAGCTCCTGAAGCTCCCAGGGCTTCAGCTCGCTGACGGACCTCCACCTTGCTGCAGCGCCAGTTCACATCGGGGAATCCAGGCCGGGTCTCCAGCCGGAGGCGGACCAGGACCAGCCGACCCAGTTGACCATTAGAGAGGACTGAAACATGAATGTTCTGAAAGGAACAGGAAGTGAGGTTAGAGTTCATTCAACAGGTGCTGGCTTTACCTGTAACACCGGGATCCTTAAGCTCTTATTCTTACAGACTGAATGAAAAGTTCATCTAAAAATATGACTGAAACTCAAATCATCTCTGGAGAAGATTCAGATATTATCTATAAATACTAAATTACCATAAAAATGTAAATAATGACATCATTTATTTATTTAAATGAGTTTTATAACTTGAAACTCACGGATCCAGGCAGGAGATGTTGATGAGTGTTCACAATGATGGGCGGAGTCTCGCCCTGCGAACCAATCAGACTGAGCCACAGGTGGTTGAAGGTTCCAGAGGTGGCTCCAGGTGAGGTGTAGACGGTCACGTCAAACTCCGGACAGGAAGTCGTCATGTTGGACAGCACAAGACTGAAGACAACAAACATTCAGGAGTGTTTACAGGAAACAACCTGTTTACAGGTCAGGTTTGGGGTTAATCATAAACAACGTGTGTGGTTTACCGCACCTGTTTATGTTTTTATTAACGTGTCAGTTAAATATCAACAGGAAGCAGTGTGAGTCTGAATAAAGTTCTGCTTTGATTAAACAAAATGTGTTTTTACTTTGGGGAAGAGAACAAACAGCAGTTTGTTCTGTTTCTACACATTCAAGAGAGCCGAGGGGAAAACCAGCCGAACTTCGGCTGCTATCACAGCTGAGCTCTGTGTTCCGTTGGACCTGGATGGACCTGGATGGACCTGGATGGACCTGGATGGACCTGAATGAACCTGAATGGACCTGGATGGACCTGGATGGACCTGGATGGACCTGGATGGACCTGGATGGACCTGGGTGGACCTGTTCACCTCTCATTTGTTTAGTTTCCTGACATTTGAATTGGAAATGAGCCACAGTTACTGCAGAGGAGAGACACACAGAAACTGAGCTAAAAATAATTTCACTCTGCAGGTGATACAGGTTTACCTGTCAGGTGTACTGTACCTGTCAGGTGTACTGTACCTGTCAGGTCTACTGTACCTGTCAGGTCTACTGTACTTGTCAGGTCTACCTGTCAGGTCTACTGTACCTGTCAGGTCTACTGTACCTGTCAGGTTTACCTGTCAGGTCTACTGTACTTGTCAGGTCTACTGTACCTGTCAGGTTTACCTGTCAGGTCTACTGTACCTGTCAGGTCTACTGTACCTGTCAGGTTTTCCTGTCAGGTCTACTGTACCTGTCAGGTCTACTGTACCTGTCAGGTTTACCTGTCAGGTTTACTGTACCTATCAGGTCTACTGTACCTGTCAGGTTTACCTGTCAGGTCTACTGTACCTGTCA